ATGGCAATATTTACTTATATGATGGGGTAAAGAAGGAAATAGCAGAGAGATAGATAGCAGATAGATAGATAGATAGATAGATAGATAGATAGATAGATAGATAGATAGATAGATAGATAGATAGACAGACAAATAGATAGACAAAGCTATCCTATTAACAATGTGAAGGTTAGAGTTAAACATACACTTGTCTATCTCTGAATCCATGGATCTAAGATTAATGAAAACTACCTCATAGATGGGGAAAGCAGGAAAAAAATGTGATAAATGGGGTAAAGTAAGAGTAAGTTGTGGTTTGACATATAGAGTCATTTGTGGTACCATGAGCTGAAAAGGTTAGCATTAGGAAATAAGTACTAACTGATAAAGACACAGTCACAGTCAGACACAGATAGCTTTATGCATAGGATGCTTGTTTTTCCTTTCTTTTCACTCTAGGGACTCTTCCCATCTCAAGCATTCTGTTTCAGTCCTCTCCCATTTTCTACTCTACAAAGGTAAAAGATGTCTGACCCAAGTAAAGAGATTCTGGGGAGCAGAAAGAAAAGGTCATATCAAAAAAGAAGAAGAAGAATCAGCTCTTATCCACTCTACAGAGGAGTTATAACTTGAAGCTTCCAAGAATTGACTAGGAATCACCAGACAGAGACACATGAAGACACGGCCATTGGTGCCGAAGTCCAGCTGCTATGCTGGGCTCCAGGCTGGTCTATATACCTATCTACTACAGGAGCTCCTCTTCAATGTCTCAGAGAACTAAATGCAGAAACCCAGTGTGGCCCACAGGGACCACGACTTCTTCAGTCATTCCTGACCCTGTGCTTGCTTCTGCACTGGTGTGCTTTGAGGACCCCATAGTACTCCTCTCTGATTGCTTAGGCCAGTTTCTCTTTCAAAGAATCTATGGACCCTAACACAGCCTCTTCCCTTCCTGTTCCCCTTGTCCACTTATGTCCCCTGGCCATAGGTCTGGTTGGGGTCTTCTGACCATTCTCTCTGCCTTCACCATGCTATATTCACTATTTCTTTGATAGTGTGACTGGAGCTGACTTTAGTGCCACCAGCCAGATCACAAGGCTCAGCTCTGAAAAATTATATGAGTTGTCACTACCTGCATCAAGATGTCTAAATTTCTAATCAACTCCAACCTGTCCTCTAAACTATGACTCTATCCACAGTTTGAAGGCTTACCTCTCCTTGTTTTCCCTATTAAACACTAATGTACCACTTCATTGATTCCCTTAGATTTTTCTAATGGTGGCACTTCTGCTCTAATGCGTCCTCTGAGGCTCTTCTTTCTCTTTTCCTACCTAGTTTATCTGTTCCAAGGCTCAATTCAACAATCTCATCCTTTTCTTAGAAACATTCTGGATCACTCCAGGTAGAATGAACTAGAACACAGTAAACCATAGAACACTTAAGTGAAGGAACCAATGTTTCACCCCATCAACAAGCAAAGAGATAAAGAAAAGATAGAATTCTCATTTATCTTTGTGGGGCTCCTCTGTCTCCCACAGAGGCATTTCTTCTTGCCCCGGCTAAGCTGCCTCAGAGTCTGCCTATTCTAGTCAATGCAAAGCATTTACTGAAGTATGAACGGTGTACCATTTAAATATGGCATTGGACTAGTTCTCTTGTGGGCACTTCAGCATGGGGCATCTACAAACAGCTATAGGTTTAACTTCATCATTGTGCCTGGAGGCTTCATTTTGTCATCCCAGATATGAGGACTCACTAGCAGGTACAAAGTTAGAACAGACCTGAATAAAATACTTAGGAGGGTCCTCTAAAATTAAAACAGTCAGTGCACACAGCACATGCCTTATGTGTCCACAGAGGGCAGATGCTGGTGACCAGCTCAACATGAAGGAGGATTTGTGAATTCCTAGGAATCCTGTTCCTCACCACCCAGCCTTGAGGGCCTCTTGTCTTAGACACTCCCTCATCCAAGTCCCCACACCTGCAGACTATTCCCTCATAAGAATGTAGATGTTGAAGTAGCACCAGTCTTCAAATGCCATTACAGATTTTCTCTATGAAAATCATTAATCTTGCATAGCTGGAGAACTTACCATGCCCAGGAAAAACAATATAATTAAAGTACTGGATTAGAGGATGGAGAACATGAGCAAATCTAGAGGACTCCCCAACATGTCACCCTGAGAACATTTTAAGTGGATGGAAAAGATGGCCCAAGAAATAAAAGAACAGAGAATCAATGAACAAAGAGGGGTAAGATAAGAGATTTCCATGGATGCAGATAGTGTCTTATGATTGTAAAATGGTTTTCTATCTTACAAAATAAATTCCAATGTGTTGTTCCTTTTGATCCCTACAGTGCCCCTATGAATTACAAAGGACAACTCTTGTTTTTCTTCACTTCATGGATGGGGAAACTGGGTCTTTCTGAGGCCTTCTGTTTTATTCAGAATCAAACAGCTAGTCAAGGAGTAATCTAGCATCTCAAAATAGTCTTCTGACCTCTGGTTGAATGATCTTAGAATCATACTGCACTTAGTCTCAGACATCATTTCAGCAGCAAGCCTCTATAAATCTGTCATATACCCTTATAAACATAGCAGACAACTGTCTTTTTATACTGGTTGTCATAATGGAAACCCTAGGGACCTAAAGGCCTGAGAATCTATGTCCTTGACTTCTCTCAGATATGTCAATTACCGAGCTCTCAAATATATTCAAGAAATGACCAGTTTTACTAATGTATTAACTACGTTTTCTCATTGTATCCACATGCCAGAGCACCCCATGCCACATTCAGGCCCGAGTGATGGTGAAAATGACTCCTAAGAACTCCAGCCTACTGCTCCTACATCCATGTTGAACTATTCAAAATGATAATCCAGTGTGTGGCAGTAACTCAGAGAGAGCAGGGCCATCACTCACGTAGGGGTGGGCACAGCCTCCAGGGCTCTTATGTCTTCTGCCAGAGACAGCATTTCTTCTCAAGCCCTCACTCATCCTCTGTACAATTTATTTCTCTTCCATGCCCTTCATACATAGCAGCGCCGCTTACTTTACCCAGAGTCAATCACCAGATGCCAAGAGTTAGGAATGTTTCCTTGGGGGAGATTTAAAGAGAGACTTGGCTTCAAGGTCAAGAGGGGTTGGAGCAGGAAGGATAAGGGTAGCACTAATTTGCAGATAGGATTGTGTTTGAAATAAGACAGGACCCAGGTAGGCTCCAGGGAAAGGTGGGCAGAGTTGGAAATGGGAAAGACAGAAAAACAGCCCACAATGTACTCTCCTAGCTGTACCAAGCAGCTGTCTGCTCTTGGCCTTGTACTTCTACAAGTTTAAACTGAAGTCCCGTTGTTTAAGAGTAGAAACTACTTAGTCCCACCCCTATGGAGTCCAAAGACAAAGAATCCTGGAGTGGCTCCTAATAAGATAAAGCAAATATGACAAAGACTGGCACTGAAGAACTCAACTAATAATATCCTTTCCCTCACCTGAATTTAAAATTGTGAGACAGGCCTTGGAGCTCGTCAGGTGAAGACCTAGCAGAACAATGTCACAGCTCCCGGCAAATGTGAGATTAGGGACTACATACCAAGATCTATATCCTTTCTCCATTCATGTCTTTTGTAATTTATTTTTTGCTTTTATTATTTGGAAGTTTTAAAGGTATACATGAAAAACTTTAGTTGTTTCCACTTCCCATTACTTTCCCATCTCGTCTCCCTCCCCTGCTAAAGATCTTGTTTCCAACATGATGCCCTCTTCCCCTCCACTTCCTCTCTCCCTCTCCCCCCTCTGTGTGTATGCATGCAAGTGTGTGTGTGTGCACGTACGCACGCACGCACGCACGCACGCACGCACGCACGCACCCTACTGCATTTAATTAGAATCAATTGTAGAAGCATGGGTGGGAGGTTATTTACTAGGGTGTGGGTATCTTATGCAATATATATGTTATATATATAAAATGTGTGAGTGTGTTTGTACCACATGCATGTCTAGTGCCCATGGAGGTCAGAAGGATAGGTCAGATGCCCTGGGACTGGAGTTATAGATGGTTATGAGCCACCATTTCTGTCCTGGGAACCAAATGTGGGTCCTCTGTAAGAGCAGCAAGTGTTTTTGACTGATGCATCATCTCTCTGGTTCCCATCTTGCATATATGTTTAGCAAGTGAATTCAGTAGCTTAATATTACGCTGTTCTTTTCTTTATATTTTATTTTATTTAAATAACATGTTTTTCATTTATTTTGCATATCTACTGAAGTAGTTTCCCCTCCCTCCTTTCCTCCTGGTGTCATTCCCCACCCTGCTTTCCATCTATTTCCTCACCTCCATTCCACTCCTCCTCCTCAGTCTCCATTCAGAAAGGGGCAGGCCTCCCCTGGGCTTGAGCAAAGCATGACACATCAAGTTGAAGCCAGACTGAGCTCCCCACTTTGCATGAAGGCTGTGCAAGGTAATCCAGCATGGGGAACGGGTTCCCAAAAGCCAACTAAGAGCCAGGAACAGGTCCTGATCTCATTGCTAGGAGCCTTACAAAGAGACCAAGCTTCATATCTGTCATACACATGCAAGGGCCTAGGTTGATCCCGTGGAGGCTCCCTAATGGTTCTTTTTTTTTGGGGGGGGGGGTGGAGTGAGACAGGGTTTCTCTGTGTAGCTTTGCACCTTTCCTAGATCTTGCTCTGTAGACCAGGCTGGCTTTAAACTCACAAAGATCCACCTGCCTCTGCCTCCCAAGTGCTGGTTCTTAATGGCATTACATACTCAGACACAGAAAGCTCTGGATATCAGGCTCACTGTCTTAGTCACATGTTGTGATAAAATATCATGACCTGTGTGTTTAATCAGGCTTATAGTTTCATGGAGTTAAGAGTCCAAGACGGTAGAGAACAGGAATGGCAGCAGGGACAGCTAAGAGCTGCCTACTTGATCTTTAAGCAGGAGGCAAAGAGAGCACCATGGGAATGGCACCAGTCTTTTGAAAACTCAAAGCCCACCTACCATGGCACACCTTCTCCAGCAAGGCCATTCAATCCTTTCCAATCAGTGCCACCCCCTGGGGACTGAGTATTCAAACATATGGACCTATGGAGTGATTCTCATTCAAACCACACTCACCCATGTACCCCGAGATCAAACACTGAAAGCAGCCGCTTCTGTAGGCAAGAAAGATAAGAGTAGGTGTAAGATTAGCATAGCATCCACTCCTCTCAAACTCATCAACCAGAGAAGTAAGGCCTGGAGAGCTCTTCCACTGGAGCTATTCTTCTCCAAGTAGAGCAAGAGAGGAATCAGCATCCCAGTCGTCAGTGCCTAGCACGTGTACTGTCCTCCAGGAGACTTCAACATACTCAGTTTACCAGTAGAAGACATGAGACTCCGAAATATTGGGCGACATGATCCTCATCACCTAAGTCTATGACAGAACAGTACTCTAAATCAGGTTTCCAGAAAGATAACCACAGTATCAGGTAAGATGCTCTTGCAGGCAGTTGTCAATGTCTGCTGGTGGGTGATCGACTTGCAACTTGAATAAGTGTACTCAGCCGATGCTCAGGGGTTCTCTTCCAGCCTAGAAGGTACCTGTAAGAACAGAATTTGAATATGGTGACATGACTACATTACAAAACTGGGGTACAAAAGAAAAGAGCCTAGGACCCAAGGGGGCCTTTGAGTGAGGGAGGCGAAGCAGAATACACAACCTGGAAGCTGGGTGTGTTGGCTCACACCTGTAATTCCAGAACATGGGAGAGTGAGAAAGGAGGACTTTCAGGAATTTCAGACTAACCTTGGCTACACAGTGGATTTCAGACTTAAAAGGGAAAAAAAGTATAAGGTCTAAGACTCACATCAATTCTGCTGGGTTCCTTCCAAAACTATGATGTGACTCAAAGCACTTGCAGTTAGCTTTGGACATGGAGTTTGAAGAGCCTAGGCTGACTTTGAGGTTCAATGCAATTGGTAAAGAAGCTGGATGCAGGGTGTTCACTAAACTGTGGAAGCCAGTATAAGTTAACTCCAGAAAGAAAAAGTCCTTGCTATTATTCCTTTATAGCTTTGACTACTGTTGTTTGTCTCTTGGTCCTTAATGAAGTTATTCTTCAAAATAAAAAAAAATATTTTAAAATGAACCAAAATAAGATGCTAACTATTCTGAGATTGATGACAAAGAAGCATGGCCAGAGACCCTAGAAGATCCAAAGAAGGACCAGTGAAACCCAGTAAACACTGTGATAAATGCCTAGACATTTATTTGGCCAACTTCTTTTTCATGGGCTTTCTTTATTTGGTTTAAAATACCATCTAAACCCAAAACACTAGAAATTGGGGCAACAATTAAATACTTGAGTTCTTCCCATTTTCGGGTTTATAGAAAGAAAATAGTGACCAGTGGGCCACATGAACTCATACACCCAGGACCGGAGATTGCAGAGCAGCCTCTGACCTTGGTCCCTGCCATGGAATTTCAGGGGTTAGTGTAAACTAGTAGAGTATCATCTGCAGTCATGTTTTTCATGGGGCAGAAGAGAATCTGTGATGTCCTTCCAGTGGTAACATGTGGTCCTTTCTTACATGTTTCCCTGTGTCTACTCACAGGATAACAAGCCAGACAGAGAAAGTCAGGGGATTATTTGAAGCAAGTATTAAATCTTTTTAAATAACACGATTCATCAATCTCTTCATGACTCCTCACTTTTTTCTCTAATCTCCCTCAGTGCTGCCCATTATTTTGGTTTCTTACATCTGGTTGGTTGAATTTCTTCTCTCATTCCAGAGAGGTTCAATTGATGTACTACACATGCATCTTCTTTATGGATACAGATTAATGACATTTTTAGCATCCACTTATTGTATAAATATCATGTGGAGTGAATCAACAAGCATGAATTTCCCCACATAGAGTATCTCTCTAGATGCCCATTATAATTAGCCTCCTGTCTATACTTTTAATTAATCAAAACCTACCCTTTTTCTCATTCTTAATTTATTTGACAGTTTCATTTAGGTATAACTAGAAAACAATAAATTGTACATATTTAAGCTAATAATCCGTTAAGACTTGTGTATATTACAGCAATGAAACTGCCACCACAATCATAAATACCATCCTCTATCAAGTTTCCATATGCAACCTTCTTCTCCTTGTCTCTCTGCATTCCCTCCGACATAACCCACCATCCCCAAGAAACATACTGTCTCTTTTTCTTTTCTAATCATCTCATTGGTGTTCATTAATACACAAAATGGATTTTGGTGTGAAATTGTCATACCTGTTGTGTACTTTTATCATATTCATTCCCCTTTATTTTATCTCCTTGTCCCTTCTGGTCCCCTTTCTCTTTCCTGGCATTCCTTCTACTCCCATGACTTCCTGCTCCTAAAATTCCATTAATGCATGAAAATATGCAATTTTTGTTTTTTCTAATTCAACTGTCTTTTAAAGCTTATTTTGCTTAACATGGTGATCTCCAGTTCCATCAATTTTCTTTCAAACTACATGACTGGTTTCACTCCTCTTGGATTAGACCATGCATTCTGTCAATTTTATAATCATATTTTTGACATGATTCTTTTTCATGCAGTAATTCTAAGGTTCACCCATACTGATATAATTCATTAATTCACTTACCTTGTAGTTGAGTAGCCTTCCACTCCATGGGTAGACCATTGTTGGATTTATAACTCTCTCTTCTGATGGATATTTAGATAGCTGACAGTTGGAGTAATTACAAGTAGAGTTGCTGTGATCCCTTGTGCATTAGTGTTTGTATGGCCATATGCTTTCCTTTCTTGTGGACAAATACCTGGAAATAAAATTGTTAGATCTCATGTCATTTGCATGTCTAGTTTTTAAAAGCTTTCAGTGTGTTTTCCAAAGATATTCTACAATTTGCATTGCCATCAGCAAATTGCAAGCCTCTTTTTTTTCCACATTGTCTTCAGAAGTAATAATATGGGGTCTTTTTAGTTTTAGCTGTTACAGTATTTATGTAGCCAGTATCTCACTGTAAGGGTTTTGTTTGTTTGGTTGGTTGGTTTGGTTTGGTTTTGGGTTTTCAAGACAAGATTTCTCTATGTAACATGTAACAGTCCTGGCTGTCCTGGAACTCACTCTGTAGACCATGCTGGCCTCTAATTCACTGAGATCTGCCTGCCTCTGCCTCCCAAGTGCTGGGATTAAAGGTGTACACCACCACCACCCAGCTTCTTACTGTAGTTTAAACTTGTGGATAGTACAATGCCCATTTAGTGATCTCTTTCTGTGTTTTTAATTTGCATATTATCAGTGATTAGTGTGGCTCAGAAACTTCTCACATGCTCTTTTAACTACCAGTATATTCCCTTGGTACAGTTCAAGTCTCTTGTTATTTTAGAAATTTACTTATTCCTCACTATTAAGTTTAGAGAGTACTTTGTATATTCTGAATACATTCTTTATCATGTGTATATGTTGCAAATATTTCCCAAGGTTTGAATATTGTCTTCCAACTATATTCACAGACTCTTGAATGATCAAAAATACATATTAATTGTGACAAATACCATTTTACACATTATAATTTTATTAACTGGCACGGGAAAAGTGGGTTGTTACACTGAAGGAATCTTTGCTTGACACTAAATCACAAAGAATTTCAATAGGTTCTACAAGTTTAAGGTTTACAGTTAAGATGAGGAACCACTTTTATCTTAACATTTTAATATCCATGAGAAAGTCTGAACCAAGCTTCTTTTCTCACATAGAGATGCTCAACTATCCACTTTCAATCTTTATTTTTAACAGTCAACAATCCCTATTATGTAGGTCCTTTGTTCAACACTATTCTGTCCAGGTCAACTACTTGTCCATCTTTTCATGCAGCACACTGTACATTAGTATACTGTTTAGTGAACCTTCATAATAGGTCTTGAAGTTAGAAAGTGTTAGCCCTCCAGTGCTGTGGATATCACTCTGTATAAATAAAATGCTGATTGGCCAGTAGCCAGACAGGAAGTATAGGTGGGACAAGCAGAGAAGAGAATTCTGGGAACAGGAAGGCTGAGTCAGGAGACGGTGAGAGGCACCACCATGACAAGTGAGATGTAAGGTACTGGTAATCCACGGGCCATGTGGCAACTTATAGACTAATAGAAATGGGTTAATTTAAGATAGTAAAAACTGCTAATAAGACACCCGAGCCATTAGGCCAAACAGTTTAAATGATATAAGCGTCTGTGTGTTTATTTTATAAGAGTATTTGCAACATATACACTGTGGGGGCTTGGCGGGACCTGGAGAGAAAACTCTAGCTACACTTTCATTTTACCACAGTAGTTTGGATTATTGCACTTCCCTTGAACTTTAGATGTGCTCACCAATTTCTATACAGGAACATGCTGGGGATGTTTTTTTTTTTTTTTTATTGGAAATTGCATTGTACCTAAAGATCAATTTGAGGAGACACATCATCTGAACATATTGACCCACTAATTTGGGAACACGGTGTATCTATTTATTTAGAACATATTCAATTTCTCTCACTGATATTTTACATTTTCAATAATAAAAAATAATTTGTCAAGCCAGGCTACATGGGAGGCTGAAGCAGGAGGATCACAAGTTCAAGGCCTGCCTAGGCCACAGAGCTAGTTCAAGGCCAAATTGTGCAACTTTTAAAAACACTGCCTTAAAATAAAAAGTAAAATAAGCTAGGTATGTAATTCATACCTAGAATAAGTAGAATGCTTACTTCGTATGTGAAAAGACCTAGATTGAATTACTCATACAGGAAAAAAGAAAGAGAAAAGAAAGGAAGGAAGGAAAGAAAGAACAATTTTTGTATATTTGATGGTATTATAAGTGGTATTTTAAAATTTTCCACTTCTAATGGTTATTTGCTAATAGAAATACTGTTTCATTGTTATATACATTTTTATTCTGCAATTTGGCACACTGGTTAGCTCCAATAGTATTTTCAGTGTATTTCTATATTCAAAAGGATTCTTGAAAGGGACATTCATTTTGACGGAAATCCTCACTCATGTTGCCTACATTAAAAGACAATACATGTTTTCCTTTCTTCTCTTTCCATCTTATTCTTGCATTGTTGCATTGTCTAGAATCTCCACTACAATGGTGAACAGCATGGGTGGAGTAGATGCTCTTGTTTTAGGATGAAAGCATATGATGTGAATTAGCAAGATTCCATCAGATGTTATAGTTATATATATTAAATGTATTATGTTTAATATAATAAAATATTAAAGTACTGAATTTTTTCTTACCAAAATTACTCATAATTTTGACAAGCTCAAAATTACTCATAAATATCAAACCTGGAAATGGCCAGAAAAAGGACAAAGAATAAAGATAACTATAATTTTTATATTAGATTTTTATATTAGAAACCACATAAGCAAGAAGACAGTGAAAATATATTTTTAATGCTAAAAGAATAAAACTGCCATCCTATACCAAGAAAACATATCTTTCAAAACATCAAATAATGAATTCTATTGAAAGTGGTAACTGTGTTGGTAAATACATGCATGTGTGTGTGTGTAATTTATGTGTGTATTAAATATATATATGTATAATTTTTATTTTAAAATTTAAAACACATTATAGGATAATTGAGCATTTAAAGGAAAACATTAACAATGTAGTCTAGAGTGTTATGTTACATACAGAGGAAAATGTCTGACATCATGGGAACAAAGGAGAGGAAAGATACATAAACAGTATAATAAAATTATCACATTATGTGTGGACTAGTATGACATCACTTGGAGGTTGATTGTAATAAGTTAAAAGCCCTGAAACAACCATTACAATAGAACAGTAAAGAGTTACAAGAAATAAGTCATGAAAACAAAATAATAAAATGTAGTCATGACCAAAGAAGATATGAAAAACACAGATATGAATGAGTAGGAAATAAAATGGAATGACAAATTTAAATCCAACCATTAATTTATCAATAATTGGGGCTGGAGAGATGGATCAGCAGTTAAGAGCACTTGCTTCTCTTGCAGAGGACCTGGGTTTGGTTCATATCACCCACATCACAGCTTACAACTGTCCTTAACATCAAAGCCAGGGGATCTAGATCCCTTGTCTGGCCTCCACCAGGACCAGGCACATACTTACGTGTGTGTGTGTGTGTGTGTGTGTGTGTGTGTGTGTGTGTGTGTGTGTGTGTGTGCATATTTGCATACATTTTAGGTTCATTCAAGTCAGGACTATGACTTCCCATCCCTCCCTCATGGCATCTAGCACAGATTACATACAAGGGCTTTCTGAATAATAATTAAGAATATTTTTCACTCAATGGGCTTTAGACCATAGTTCTTCATCCTTGTTCTGTGGAAGAGAGTGGAGCATCATGAACTTGCTACCTCCCTGAGTCCATTCATAAAGCCGTCGTTCTGTAGCCTCAAATTCCCTTCAAGGATTTCAAATCTGAGCTTTTTAGTGTCTTTGAAAAAGTCCCCGTTGTGAGCAGCGGTAGATCTGATGGGGAGAAAGAATGTCCCCTCTGAGCTTCCTTAATCTGGCCTCTGCTTCCTGTAGTGGCCAACTCTTTGCTCATCTGCTTCCTTCTGCCCCTCTCCTCACGCTGTGGCTGTCACATATTAGTTATGTAGGCCCACTCACCTCCCTAGTAAAGATTTCTAGGTGATCTGAAAACCCTACTGACTGCATTTAGCAAGCAAACTATACCTCTCGAAACAGCATCTACAGAACACTGCCCCACAGTATTCTCTGAGCTGGCAGTGTGGCTCACCAATTTCCCTGTCCAGTACTTAATGGAGCTTCCTTACAAGCAGGAGCAACTTATGTTTACTTTGTACCTTCCCAGAGTGTCATCACCTGAGGTCAAGCTCTTGGTCCTGATTTCCTACAAGCACTGTGCCTTATTCTAGCTACTGAGGGAGGCTAATCATTCTCTTATAGACTCAGTATGTTTGGATGCCCCCTTGTCACCTCATGGAGTGGCCTTTCTGCCCTGGCCCCTCCCCTGTGGAGAGAGGGGTGATTCTCCTTCGGTGACAGTGTTCCACCAGATGTGCCTTCCCATACCCTTGACTTTATCTTAATAAATAATCCTCCATATTTAGCAAAAATCATTGCATCTTTGTTTAGGGATTAGGGCTGGAGATATATTTAAACTACACTGAGCACTGGTAATCCTGGAAGGGCTAAAGCAATCCTGATAGTGTTATGGGGCCACAGCAGTTACTGCAGTCACTCAGCTGCAGATGTTATTAAAGCAGCAGTCTGTGCTCAGCATGGAACAGATAAGAGGAGATCAGTATGCATGTTCACATATGCACACAGGCTTACTCTAGTTTGCAGGAGTGCTTGCAAACATACATGCTTGCACACCCCAAATGCATAAATTCATAATTATGCTTGGCAATCATACACATTCATATAAGCCTGCACAAGCACATGGGAAATATGGCTGTCCATGCACATGAAAGTATGTATACCCAGCTGTGGCATTTTAGAACACTGAGATGTGTCTAAGTACATAGGCACATGTAGCCACTCCCCTGCACTTTTCCATGCACAGGTCTAGAAATAGTTGCTCAGTAGTCCCCTAGCACAGAGGACAGTGCTGAGAGTGGGAGTCCCTGGCTTGCAGACACATACTTCCAAGCAGCTCTGATGACTTAAGAATGTTTCTTCTTCCTACTTTTATGCACAAAGCTCTCTATTTCCTGGGGGTTTTAGCAAACATTTCTTTTCTGCCTTATGATAGTAGGAAACCCAACTTCAGCCTAATCAATTTGGCCCTCTTGCCTCAGGAGATAAGAT